TCATGGAAAGAACATGACATTTAAAATCAGAAGATGTGGGCTCACGTTTGCCATTTGAGTGACGTTGGGCTAGTCTGACAGTACAACATACCTATAGACTTGCTGTGAGTCTCTAATCAGCCATGGACTTGAAAGTGCTTCAAAGACCTAGCATTCTCTTCAGATAGAAGTTTCTACTGCATTATTTAGTTATACTGGATCAGCAGGATCTGGGCTGGCCACTGGGGGGCACAGTCTCACCTGGCCTTCCAACTGGGCTTGACTGGGCCCCTTCCTGCCAGGGAGGAGGGCCTGCCTGGTGTGTGATCCCAAAACATGATGAGAGACCCCACACACCTGGAGAGCGATGAACCCACACACCTGACCTACAGCCCTTCTGTTTTCTTAGAGGGGGTTCAGTCTTACAGCTCTGGCACCTTTTGGCATGATGGGACACTTCCTGTCCTGGATAGATGGGGAACCAATCTATTCCTTAGAGACCACTCGTGAATGCTTGGATCATAGCAGGCCTTCTCTGTAATACTATTTTCTTTTCTTCTTTTTTTTTTTTTAGCTGAGTCATCCTGCCACTTGTTGGCAGCTCAGCAGCAGCTCAGCTCAGGCTGGGACTCGAACCGCCCTTGCTCAGAGGTTGCACTCTTGAGCGAGCTCTTAACCAACTGAGCCACTCGCCAGCCCGGTTTTCTCTTCATTTACATTTTTTCTTGAGAAATAATTCACACGTTATTGGGTTGTCGGAAAAGTCATGACGCATTTTTGTAACGAAAAATGTAGAAAACGTACGTCATGACTTTTCCGACAAACCAATATAAAGCCCACCATTTTAAAGTATACACATCTGTGGTTTTTAGTACATTTACTAAGTTGTGCAGCCATCACCACTATCTAATTCCAAAAAATTTACATCACCCCAAAAGGAAATCTCATACCTATTTGTACTCAGTCCCAATTCTCGTCTCTGCCCAATCTCTGGCAACCAATAATCAGCTTTTTGTTTCTGTGGATTTGCCAATCCTGGACATTTCCTATAACTGGAACCATAAAGTATACTTTCGTGACTGGCTTCTTCCCCGTAGCATAATGTTTTCGGGGTTCATCCATGTTGTAGCACATGTCAGTGCCTCATTCCTTTTATGGCTGAATAATATTCCATGGTATGTCCACACCACATTTTATTTATCTCTTCATCCATTGATAGACATTTGGGTTGTTTCCACTTTGGGGCTATTATGAATAATGCTGTTACGAGCCTTGGTGTATAAGGTTTTGTGCGGACTTGTGTTTTCAGTTCTCTTTTAGAGAGTGGAGTGTTACCTGCAGTTACTAGGGAACTCGGTGTTTGGCATTTAGAGGGGCTGCCAGACTGTTTTCCAAAGCAGTGGCAGCATTTTACCTCCTCGCCGGGAGCAATGTGTGAGAACTCTGCAATACTCCTGACATTGGATGCACCCCATGCTTGCTGCAGTCCACTTTCACATCTCTTTCCCAACATTATTGTGAAGCCCAGCAACAAGCCTTGCAAACTTCAATTGTCTGAGGAGCACCCTTGGGCCTTTGGAAGGTTTATCTTCCATGCTGAGGGGATACCGCAGCCTTGGTGCTTCTAGTCAAGGAGGAGGCACCTGTGGACAGAGCTCAGCTGGTGGGCGTGCTGAAGGGAACTGCATTCACCTGCCCTGTTTACCAGAGAGTTCTGCCTGTGTAGTTAATTGTCACTAGGCCTGTTTCTGCTTGGCCTCGGCAGCCTCTCTCATGGATCCTGGGCTTCCTGGAAGGGAGCAGGCATTGGCTTTTGGGAGGCGGGGGTGACATCTGTCCAGGTTGGCAGAGCCAGCGGGCATAGGCTGCTTCTTTCTGGGCACCTGGCTGGATGACAGGAAGACGTTGGCCTCTGCCCAGGGAGACAGAGTCGGGGGCCTGGGGCGCAGAGACGGCTCCTGACTCTACTCGCTTTGCTTCTGGCGACTTGGTAAGTGAGGGCTCTATTTGCAGCAGCTCAGACAGGTCTGGCTAGATGAGGAAGGGTTTGTTTGTGCGGCATCTGGATGTGACAAGTGAGGTAATTGAGGCAGGTGGGGTGGGAAGGAGATCTAATCTCAGAGGAGTCCCTTATGGAGAAGGAAGATTGCCAGCTGCGCTTACTCTGAGATTGGATGGCTCATTTTAGTCTAAGGGGAATGTTTCGGGGAGGCAGAGGGGAGAAATGGAGGCAGGGAAAATATCCCATGAGGTCCTTGTCAATTAACTAATGACCCTACCTGGCGATGTCAGGTCCATTTACCTGGTGTGCACATATCCAACCAGTGGGCATCCCATACCCGTGGGCGTTGATTTATTCAACAAACATTTATTCACTCCCTATTATGCACTGGGAGCTTTCTAGGCTCTAGCAATGCAGAGATGAACAAAACCAACACAGACCACTATCCCTGGGGAGCTCGGAGACTGGTGGGGTGGAGGGTCACTCCTTAAATGGTTGCTGGGCAGGGTGCTGCAGGTTGCTCTGAGAGCAGGTAAGAAGGCGGTGGCTTTGTATAGGGGGGGGGTGTCCAGAAAGCCTTCCCAGGGGGCAGTTGGTCTGAGTGGCTGAGCAAGGGGTGGGGGTGGAGAGCTGGGCATTTCCAGCAGAGGGCACAGCAAGTACAAGACCCGGAAATGGGACAGAACCCCACATTCCAGGACCCCAAAGAAAGCCAGACGGCTGAGAGCAGAGAGAGGAGAGCATGGGACAGGAGGTGGAGAGGGCAGGTAGGGCCAGGGTGCTTAGGGTCATAAAGCCTGTGCAAACCCGCTCCCTCCTCTTCTCCTAGGAGCCATGAGCCGCCATTGGGAGTGGTAAGCTTAGAAGTGACTTGGTCAGGTTTGTGTTTGAAGTGACCACTCTGGATAGAGTGAGATTGCTCATGGCTGTCAATCACAAGCGTCAGATAACTAGGCAGCAGATTCAAAGGTAAAAATAAATATTCCTTTTCCTTTCCCACAGACGTGTTGATTTCTCCCGGAATCCAATGTGCTTTAGAGGATTCTGTGTTGATTGAATGGAGCTGTGGTTCTGGTTTTAAAGGAGGATGGGCCACCTAAGTGAGGCCAGGGTCAACTTTGGGGGCTGGTAAAAATGAAAAACCGTGAACCTTGGGTGAACTTAATAGTGGTGGGGATCGGGGGACAGACATTGAATCAAGGCAAAGTGATGCTTATGGAAAGAAGGTGAGGCGCCCAGAGGGGCCAGGACCATAGCTAGGCCCTTCTGATATGTGCTTGAGCCTCTGAAGGTCACTTTGGCCTTGAATTTCTGGTGAAACCTCAGGCTCATGTTTTCCCCTGGACACCTGGGGATCAGACTCTTCTTTCTGCTTGCCCAGACCTACCCATCTAGCTAAGTGCTTTCTGCATAGACTGGCACTGGCTTAGAAGGTCAGAGCGGGGGCTTCAGAGGCCAGCTGGTCCAGGGCTTCTCAGCGCGTGGTCCGTGGACCCCTGCATCGGCTCCATCTCTGGGACAGTAGTTTAAAAACGGCATACTCCTGGGTCTTGCCTCAGACCCACTGAGTCAGAGTTCTTAGGAGCAGGGACAAGTGCTAGCGCCTTAGGAAATCAGCATTTTAAGCACACTGGCTTTGTTTCCGGTGGCAGTTGTAATACATTGTCACATACCTGGTGGCTTAAAGCAACAGAAATATATTCTCACAGTTTTAGGGGACAGAAACGCAAAATCAGTTTCACTGAGCTGAAATCAAGGTGTCGGCAAGGCCACACTCCCTCCAGAGGCCCTCGCGGGGAATTCTTTCCTTGCCTTTTCCAGCTTCCAGTGGCTTCTAGCTTCCTTGGCCGGTGGCAGCATCGCTCCGGTCTCTGCCTCTGTGGACACATCGCCATGTCCTTTTTTTTGTCTGTTGTCAAATTTCCCTCGGCCTTTGTCTTATGACGACACCCGGGATTGCATTTAGGGCCTTCATCCTGTCCCTATTTTAAGACATTAATCATGTCTGCAAAGACCCTTTTTCCAGAGACTAGGACTTGAGATCTTTGGGGGACCATTTTCCCAGCCTGCAACCCACACACAAAAGTTCAAAAGTCACCAATAGGGTTTACATCCTTAGGGTACAACAGGCCTGGGAGGTTGGAGCCCCAAGTAAAGGATCGGTACAAGGTCACAGAGCCCATAATCCGCTTTTGAGATTGGAACCCCAGGCCTTCTCTTTCTGGTCCTGGCTCCCAGGAATAATAACAGTTGACAACTACCGAGTGCTTCTTATGTCTTGATCTAAGCAAAAGTACTAGCTCACCACCCTTCTAAACAACCTTGTGAGGTAGGTCCTACTATTATCTTCGATTTTACAGATAAGAAAATTAAGGGGAAGAGGGGTTAAAGAACTTGCCCGAGGTTATTATTTAACAGAGCGAATTACTGATGGAGCTGGGATAGAAACCCAGGCAATCAGAGGTCAAAACCTTCATTCATAGTTGGAACAGTGTCCAGTTGGGCTCACTGTGATCCGCTCTGTGAATCACCCCATTTCTAATATTTTTGTCCTCCTGGCAAATATGGAACTACGCTTTTCTGGAAGGAAAGGAGGCCCCTCTGACCCCTTGCCCTCCTCCTGCTCAGAACTTCTCCAGTTCCTTGGTGCATCCTTAAACTTACCTCAAGCTGCACCACAGGCCTGCCCACCTCAGCCAATGGGCCCCCTGGGAGGCAAGAGGGTGTTGCAGGGAGGTGGGGACAGCTGAGATCCTAATGAATTTCTTAGGTTAATGGCCTGGGAGGGGCCCTAGAAGGTTCCCAGCCTCAAAATGGCCTGCTGAAAGGCAGACAGGGAAGGTGGGGCATATTTGGGTACATATTTGCTTCTGGCTGTGACTCACCTCCCTGTGGAGCAGGGCCTCAGGTGAAACATTTACCTGCTCCACCTCCCCTCCAAGCTGCCTTATAGCTCCCCTCCCAGCGGGGCAGGCCTCAGAGACCACAGAGCAGCCCTGCCTTCCTGTCTACCCCACGGAGCCCACCCACAGCCATGGCAGCCCTGGCGGCTGGCATCTCCAAGCAGCGGGCAGCAGCTGAAGGGCTCGGCACCAACCAGAAAGCCGTGAAATACTTGGGTCAGGACTTCGAGGCTCTGAGACAGCAATGCTTGGACTCAGGGGTCTTATTTAAGGACCCCGAGTTCCCAGCATGCCCATCAGCCTTGGGCTACAAGGATCTTGGACCAGGCTCCCCGCAAACGCAAGGCATTGTCTGGAAGCGGCCCACGGTAAGGAGATGGGCTGGCTGTTCGAGGGTCATGCAGGATGGAGGGCCCTCAGTTCTGGTCAGAAGTAGCCGAGGGAGGTGTCATGGCTCTGTCTCTTAAATTCCTGTACCCCATGTTTCAGAACACATCTCTCCTTTTAAAAATCTTTTTCAGAGGTGGTAAGGTATTAGAGGGAAGAGCATGCATGGGCTTTGGGACCGAACAAGTTAGATTTGAATCCTAACTCTGCCTCGGTGGCCTTGGACAGATAACTTCTGTGAGCCTCAGTTTTCTCATCTGTAAAATGGTGCTACTGGCACCTTATTTTTCAGGGTTGGTGTGAGGATTAGAGATAAAGCTCAGAGGATAGGGTCCAGCGCCTAACAGACACAGAATACGTGGAACCAATCAGTGCTAGATGTAATCGTTGGTAAGGGGTCAGGTGTGATGTTACTCCTGGAAGCTAAAGGGGTGCTTAAGGTCATGAATTGTTCTATCGGGTGGTGAGTGGAGAGGTGAGGGCTGTGGGTTAGTGAATGCAGATGGAACTCAGGGGCTCCCGGGTGCTGTCACTGGTACCAGCCAAAGCTCAGGGGCAGTGAACAGAGAACTGCCCTCCTGACACCTAAGCCCGTGACCTACATATGTCTCCTGTCAGTGGTTTAACCTCTGGGATAGGAGCCCCTTCCACACAGAGTGCTTGTGAGAATTGAGATACTCATATGAAGTATTCTGTACAGTGTCTGGCACATAAAAAGTCTCAGTGGCCCTTGGCTAGGGCACCTTTTGTCTTCTAGATCATGAATGGGAAAATTAAGTCTCCAGACCTATCTTCTTGGCCAAGGTTGAAAATGGAGGATGAGAAGCGAATTCTTTGGAAATGGTCAAATCATCCTTTAACTCCAGCTACCTCTACCCCTTCCTTTTCACTCTATCAGTTTTGCACAATGGTTCCTACTCTTGAGATAACTCCTTTGCCTTCCTGCCTACCCTGGCCCATCTTCCCATCCCCCCCGGACCTATGGGGTTCCTTTGGGATGTTGGCAAAATCAAGGTTGAGAATCATGGCTTTGTATCCTAATCTCAAGGGTTGACAGCCGTATTTCATTTCAACAGATAGTTTTTTTTTTTAAAGCCTCTGTCTTGCGCTAGGCATTGTGAGGGACGATTTAGGAAGGCGGTTGGGGAGAAACTGAAAGAATGAGGTGTGGACTCAGCTCTGAGGGAGGTTATGGGGAGACAGACACATGAATAAAGGACCGAGACATCCTGGGCAGAATGAAGGAGGTACTCACAGAGGCACGAGTGTGGCGTGGGTGCCTGGGGTGTTAGGGCTGAGTGATGGGACCACCTCAGGAAGGAGGCCATATTCCGGTGGGATTGAAGGACCCCAAGGGGCCTGGGGATGGGGAGGAGGATGGAAATGGGGGGAAGAGAAGATTCCACTTTGTGACCAAAGTCAGGCATCAGTGCACCTTTGCCTAGTTCTTCTCTTTTCTTTGATATTCTTTTATATATATATATAGATTTCATTGGGGAACAGTGTGTTTTTCCTGGACCCGTCAGCTCCAAGTCAAGTCATTGTCTTCAATCGAGTTGTAGAGGGTGCAGTTCACAGTGGCCCATGTAGGGATCGAACCAGCAACCTTGGCGTTATCAGCACCACGCTCTAACCAACTGAGCTAACCGGTCACCCCAGCCTTTGAAATTCTTAAAGCCCTTACCTTCCCAACCACATTGCCTGTTCTCTCCCAGCGTCTACATCTGATCTCACTGTTCATGTAAATATGGTCATTTTTAGACTGGATGTGCTGATTTGTGCCTGTCAACAAAATGCAATAAAATCCAGAGGATGAGGTAGCAGACCCTGATTAATGTGGAGTTGAAGTATTCCCGTTGTTCGGGGTTTTCAGATGAATAAATAAATGCTTCTCCATTCTCCCTCATCAACGAAGAATGGTCACACAGCTGCTTTTGGCAAGGCTGTGCTCGCACACCACACAGCACATTCCAGGACACAGGTTTAGGCTCTGAGTTTACAAACAATTAAATAGACCCATGAGATGGTGACGACCCTGATTCTGTCTCTATCTGGGACGTGCCGTGGATCCTGGGAAAAAAACAGCATGTTCCTAAATGCATTATCGCTTTCTCCTCAGGGGCCTCTCGGGGGCCTGGAAGAAGGTTGGGATGCTCAGAAATGAGGTGCATAATGAGTTCACTTGCTGCTTCCTTTCCCCTCCTTCCCTCACTTTCCCCTCCTTCCCTACCTCCCTCCCTCCTTTCTTCCTTAAATTGTGATAAGATACACATAACAAAATTTACCCTGGGTACGTTATATATGTGAAATCGTACAGAGGTTCTTTTGTGTCTGGTTAATTTCACTTAGCATAACGTCCTCCATGTGTCACATGTGTCAGGACTTTATTCCTTTTCAAGGCTGGATAATATTCCACTGTGTGCAAGTACACTACATATGTTTTCATCCATCCATCCATCAGTAGACACTTAGGTTACTTCCACCTTTGGGCTATTGTGGAGCATGCTTCTATGAATATGGGGGTACAAATATCTCTTTGAGACCCTGCTTTCAATTCTTTTGGTTATATACCCAGAAGTTGAGTTGCTAGATCATACAGCAATTATAGTTTCAATTTTTTTGAGGCACTTCCATCTTGCTTTCTGTAGCCACTGTACCATTTTACATCCCCACCGGCAGTTTCTCCACATCCTTGCCAATGTTTGTTCTTTTCTGGTTTTTGATAGTGGCCATCCTAATGGGTGTGAGGTGATATCTCATTGTGGTTTTGGTTTGCATAGTCCATAGTTAGGAGCTGAAGCCACAGGTTTGGGTGATGTCACCAAGAGAGAATGCTTAGAGCAGGTTATTGCTTCATGAAATGGGATCTCTAGAGAAGGTTGGGGACCCGGCCCCAGGGTTCCCTGATTCTTAGGGGTGAGCAGAGCAGAGGAGCCCTTGAAGGAGATTGAGAAGAGGTATTTAGACAAGTAAAGAGAAAGTCAAGGGCGAGTAAGGGTACAGGAGCTAAGAGAACAGAGTTTTCAGCAATAAAATGAGGTATGGGCAATACATGATCTCCTAGGTCACTTCCAGGTCTGAACTCGATGATTCTAAAGTCTACTTTACCCGGGCTGCCATCATCACTGGGCATCTTATGGCTTGTGTTTTGTCTCAAATTGCTTTCAGGAATTGTGTCCCAGCCCTCAGTTTATCGTTGGTGGAGCCACGCGCACAGACATTTGTCAGGGGGGTCTAGGTGAGTAACTGGGGAGAGCCCTATTTGCTTTGGGGGAGGGCGGGCGTGTATGGGTAATGAGTAACATCCGATTAAGCTGTTAGACTTGACCGACTGTAGTTACCTTTAAGTGGACATCATTTGCCCTATAAAACGGCCATGTCTGTACAATTATGAGCTGTCATAATAGATGCTTTTATAATTAGTAAGAAAACAAGGATCCTATCTTTCTAGCCAAGCTTTCTTTCATAGGTCCAGAATCCTGGGATTATGAGCCTTTCTTTCATATTCCCTCCACATGAGGTGCCGTGAAGCTTAGGAAGCACTTTTTTATATTTTGTTTTCTAAGTTCTAGCCTCAAGTGTCAGAAATTGAGGTTTTCCTCCAAAGCACGTTAGTGTGGTTGAGCTCCCAGGCCCTCCTGATCCCAGGGCCTCAGTGTCTGTGTTGGACGACACTGATATTTTAGGGGACAGCATGGCCCTGAATTGAATTTGCTGGGCTTCCAAACTGCCATCCGGTCACAGCTGCAAAATGTAGAACTGGAAATGAAAGCTGTGAGGAGACAAATCCTACTTGGTGAAAATCAGCAAAACAAACAAAATCTCAGCATCTGCACCGCCCCGATAACCTTTATCTTTCAGGAGGTTCCCCTCCTTTTTTTTTTCTCCTTGTTCTAGCCGGAAAACTCAGTCTCCTCAGCCTGCTGGAAACCTGTATGATTTTGAAAATCACAAGGGCATGTTATTTGAAATGCCTCCAGTGTTCTCTCCTTTAATGAGTGTAGCAAACCATCCCCTTAGCCAGAGCTCATGTAATGATAAAGCAGTGAGAATGATTCGGGGTGCCACACACAAACGTGTGCCCCATTTCCTGAAAACCTCTGTGGCCTCAGCCTTTGTGTCTGGGTCCCAGAGGTGTAGCATTCTGACCTTTCCTGTGCTGGGTACGTGCGGCGTGCCTTTTACTCCCCGCTAAATGTTGCTCCTAATTTAGCGTGTGTCTCAGGGAAATGCAACTTCCTGTCTTACGCTTTTAGCGGCTTCTTTTTTTTTTTTTTTTTTTTTTTTTTTTTTTT